CCCGTGTGCGAAGCGCCGCGCACGCGCTCCGCGGGAACTATTACCCGTTCTATACGAAGAGGCTCTTACCCCCCACCCCCGCCCCCCCTCCCAGTGCTATTTCATTGGTACGTGCCGTTGTTTTAATATCTTACTTATCCGTCGACTGTGGTACGATCCAAAATGGTAGAAACGCTATCCAGCCGAGCGGTAAACACTCCAGTAATTAGCGCACGGCGTCCAGGCCGACTCCACGCGGCTCGGCGGCGCGGACCCCACATCGAGAGGAGCCTCGTTAGGCATTGATCTCGCCAAATTAAGGCTAACTGCCCCAGATTGTGGCGTCTTGATGTACCTTCTGGATGAGCGCGGGACCAGGCTTGTAGTGTTTGTAGGGTAAACAGGACGGTTTTGGACTCGCTGCTGCTGTAGAATGAACGCGTCCTGAATAATTAACGCCCCCCCCCCCCCCCCCCCCCCCCGCCTCGTTTGAGCGTTTGTTATCTGTGTAGCCGCAAGCGAAACACTGATGATGAGGAAAATATGGTTTTAACAAGTCAATAATGGCGAGTGCAACAAGACCGGCCCTAATCAATGGGGCTGCAACGTTAGCAAACAAGGACTTGAATTATAACGCCAATAATTGATCCCCCCCCCCCCTCCGTGTGATGTCATTTCTTATCGATCGCTTCCTGCCGGTGAGGGATGATGAGAAGTTTCAGAGTTTGATTTGTACCATGACTTTAGTCCCCCCCCCCCTCCTCCCACCTTTCTCCATTTGAAATTTGCAAGCTGTAGCACCAGCTTAACCAAAAAGGATTAAGTCCCATACCCCACTGAGAACACAGATAATGCTCAGTAATTGGTAAAAAATGAAGATGAATGGGACAGCTAGATAAGGACCAATTAGCTGCTGGGAGCGTACAGCTGTGGTCTCCTCACAGAGCGCTCTCAGGGGCCACGGCCCCCTCCTTCCATCTTACACCAGCGCACACGCGCACACAGGAACACGCACAGACGTGGGCGTGCGGACGTACGCGCGCGAGGGCGGGGCTTGCAGAAATTAGCCCCGACGACCCTGGGAAGAGAGAATGATGCTTCCTCATCATCTCGCCCAGAACCCCCTGTTCTCTCCGCTCGGGCAACACTCCAGGTACCTGTCAGCAGCCGTCCAGCCCCCCCCCCTCTCCTCTCTGGGCCTGGACGGAAGCCACAGACGTGAGACAAAAGGGCTTTCAGGTTTTTTGAAGGAGTGCTTACACGGCTTAGTGGCCGTGTTTGGGATTAATTCAAAATGTGGGTAAAAAAAAGGGAAAGAACGTCAGCGGCGGCGGCGTCCGCCCCTTTCACTTCAGTCGGGTCGGCGTGTCGCCGCATCAGCTGGACGATGACAGTGGAATTCCCATATCTAATTACAAGGCGGATCTGAGCTCCATTAGAGCCGTGTGGTGAGGAGTCAGATGAGTGGCGGGGCAGCACCCAGTGGCCAGACGGAGACAGAGGGCGGACCACGGGATTTACAAGAAAGACGAGGCTGAGCACCATCTTATCTTTTCCTTTTCTGCAGGTCGGGGAAACACTTTATTATCCTTCTGCTGCTGCGAAAAGCGGTTCCTTCTCCTGGAATTGGCAGACGTTTGTTAGTGGGCAGCCGACAATATTTCCTCTCCCAGTAATGAAGGTTGCGTCTGGGGTCAATGCACTGGGAGGGCTGTTTATCCCCCGAAGGCCCCGCGCCACACGTGTTTTGCTTGGTCTGTGATCTGTAATTGTGGCATTTCCTGAGAGGCGCAGGGAACAATCCACATTGTGCTTTGAGTGGGCTCCCTCTGCCCAGCTAAAGGGGGGGGGATCAAAGAAAGACACACACAAACAGACACACACCTCTCTTTCCCATGCCTCTCCACTCATCTATGCCCCCCCCCCCCTCAAAACAACCAACCAACCGTCGTTGGTTAGAGTTTAACTAAATGTATTTTTCTCCTTTTCCTTTCCTCTTGTGCCTTATAATGAATAACATTGACGCAAACAGGAAGGTCTAATTGTGCTGCATATTTAATGCGGGGGGGGGACATTAGCCCGTTTCAATTTACATCAACACAAAGACAGCGACGGGCAATCCGACTCTACAAACAGAACAGAGTGTCCTTCAGCGGCTGGCTCGCTTTAAAGCTCTTCACAGAGATCTGCTTCAGACAAACGCTGAGACGAGGCACCTGTGCTCCCGCCCCCAGCACGCCGTGGTTTGGATTGCTCTCCCTCCCCCGAGGGGGTCCATGGCGAAGCTTCTCTCTGATTAAATAAATCCACGTCTTCCTCAGCATCACGTTGTGGCAGGTAACGCCGTTTGCGTGAGTAAACGCGTGCGTCCTTGTTTAAGCTGGGTTGTTAGGAAATAATACAAGTAAGAGCAGCTGTGGTCCGAAACAAATAAACCCTGCGTGAAGTCGTAGCCCGGCAGGCAGCGTGGTCAACGCGGTCCCGACAAAGCTCCGCCCACTCCGCGCCACATCAGTCAGGTGATCGATGCCTCCCGGTTTGCTATTGGAGAGCAGGACATACTAAGCCTTCGCACTCTGTAATTCAAATTATTCTCTTTTTTTTTTTATCCCAAAATAGCCGTGTGAAAGGAAGAAGAAGAGGACGAAGAAGAAGGAGGCTGCGTGGCCCCGGCGGAGCCGCAACAGCGTGAAACGGGGACGACTCCTGCCGGCCGCCCTGTCACGGGAGAGTGCTTGATATAAACAAGAGATGGCTGCGACACCCGGCAATCAATATTAGGACGGCTTCAGTACCAAACATCATTTGTCTCGGCGGCCATTCCTTTGACCAAACGAAGCATTAATTCAAATCATAAATCTGAGCTGATTTAAATCCGAGGAGAGTGGGAGCGAGCGAGAGAGGGGCCCCTGTCTGACTGCCTGCCCCTAATGATTTATTTTCTACGTTTCTGCGAGCGAGAGATTTGTCCATACTCGCTGACAGGTCACCTTCAAACGCCAGTGGCAGACTGTTCATCACCATGCAGACGAGCATCTCATCGCTGCGAGTAAATATTAAAGGAAAAAAGAATGCAATTGATTGTGGATGGGGCCGAGAGGCGTCGCTGCCATATATTTCACTCAGAGAGCTAATGCCGCGGCCCCCCCCCCGTGCGCCCGCACCCAGAGCCGCTCCCCCTCGCCAGAATTATGATTCCAGCGCGCTGGCTGTGGGCTCAAGGTTGCAATTTAAATGTAAAAAGATAAAACCGTTTCTTATTAGCTTCATTGCCACAGCCTTGCTGTTGGTACTCACATTTATCTTTATCTCCGTGACCTCGTTGGCTTTTTTTTTTACACACCCCATTCTGTTGGAGTGATGACCTCACACTTTATGAATTGTGCATTGTTAAATCTGTGTAGAAACACTTCCTGTTTTCATGTCACACGCCACAAGCGCCGCGGTGTCAAGTGTTACGGGCGGAATGCATTCAGGAGCCGAGCCATTTATTACAGTAAGTGAATCAAAACCTCCATTTAGCAACCAAAGCTATGGGGATTACATTTGGTTTATAATTTGGTACGGGCTCATGAATCCGCACTAACATACATTATCATTCTCTTTTAATAAACTAAGTGCTTCTGCGTGATATTGGGAAAATCCTTCTGCTTTTTGGGGCTGATAATTAATTGAAATGGAGTGAAAAAACCCAACGCTCTCACAGCAATTCAATTAGACCTTGTTAAAAGCTGATCGCTAAGTGAAACTGTGAACACTGTTCAGCTTTTAACAATTGCATTACTTTTATTTTGTCTTTCATCTTTCAACACAAAGTGAAGACGTGACTTACCCCACTGGACAAAAACAAACTTCCCCTTTAAACATCAAATAAACTGGTTAGTTGGGTTGGTTCTTCTGGTCCCGTGGATGCATTTGGATTCACGTGATGCATAAGATGACAAAGACACACTACGTACCACTGCTGCCTTCACACCAAACACGCAGCACGTTATTTGCGCAATAATTCTCCCAATTGCAAATGGCCGAAATCCCACAGATTCCCACAGATTCCCAGTAGAAGTTTCCCTCCTCCACTGACGAGGTAAAAACAGGAATAGGGAGTAGCTCTACGCTACGTCATATTGGTAAAGAGGAAAGCTGTGTGTGGAAACCATGGAAACCACAAGGCTTTGTCACTGCTGTATTTACGCCCATGTGAGTGTTGATGGAGCAGCTACCGTGTTTCTACAAACCGACGTCATAATAACGTCGTTATGTCGGCATTCTTTTTATCCGTTTTATTGCTATTAAATCACAGTTAAAAAAAATGATTACGAAGCAATAACGCAATAAGTTCACCTGGATATCTGGGACTCCACCGTGAGTGACGAATCGTTGTCTACATGGAGGAGCCCCCCTCGAGTGATAATAGTAATAGAACACAGCATAGGTCCCGCCCCTTCAAAGGCAGGCTGGCCAATCGTAGCTTAGCACCCGCTGAGCTTTACGGGAACACTGTTGCTGCTTAATCGTATCGTTTGCCCCTCCGTGGTGGTTCGCTCTAACAATGTGATGTGCTGCTTTAGCTTCTGTCGTTATCTTTTACGAACTGTATTCACTGTTGAATCTCTTAGATCCATCAAACACATATAGTAGATCATGTGTCTGACTCTCTGAAATCCCTTTTTGTTTATTCTAAAAATGAGGCCGGATGGATCCAGGGTGACAACTAACCAGTTAGTGACAATGGGCTCCGTGGCAGCTCTGACAGCTGTATTTCTGTTATTGGAATCCTCGGCTCAGTATTTAGGCCTAAACATATTGTTCCCATTTTGTATTAAAGTATTTTAAAATTAAAGTAATTATCGCGTCATGACAAGCCCTACCATTGCGCGATTAATTGTAATAACCTTAAACCTTATAACCTCAAACTTTGGTCGTTGAATCCTGTGTGTGTGTCAAACAGCAGATCTGAATGCATTAATATCCCATCGTGTGTGTTTGCGACATCCATTTCCCCTCCGCGAATGTGTCCTCACCGACGCTGGAGCCCAGGTCTCCGTTCTCTCCGTCGTGGTGGTTGGCGTTGCCGTGGTAGCCGCTCATCGCCTCCAGCTTGATCTTCTTGACCTTCATGGCCTCGGCGATGGCTGCGTTGGCAGCTGCCGCCGCCGCCGCTGTCAGGCCTGGAGAGAGGAGGCAGGAGAGACGAGACAGAGCACTTACAGACCACGCACTACATGTCTGCTGGGGCTGAGCCGCTGCACCTGCAAAAGCCCTGTGAAAAAGCTGCCCTGGCGAGGAAAAAAACACAAAGAAAAAGGACTTTTGAAATAATAAAACAATGAATAATTTCATACACCACAGGGAATAAGAGCCTATGAGATCACAGCTTGGTTTTTCATCTTCTGACAGGGGGTATCTTCACAGCGGGTTGTCATGCTGATGGGATGGATCCGTGTGTGTGTGTGCGTGTGTTTTTTCTGAATGTTACTCATTGCTCCACCACAGTGATGTATTTATACAACCTGATGGGAATAGATGCAGTCAGGATAACGGCACATGATGCAACACTTAGAACACAGTAGTACTTGTATACATGTAGCAGGGGAGCTGTGACGCAGAGGGACATGCGGGAGACAGAGAGCAGTGAAGTTTCAGTACATGTGAACAAACACGGAGCGGGAGGTGTGTGTGTGTGTGTGTTAACAATCTCCTCGTGGAGGGTGTGATAGCGTCTGATGCATTCAACAGATCTAATGGCCTTAAATAATGCCGAACATGGGCATCCGCATTCCCCACAGCTCTGTAATGTCGGGTGGCGTCTCGTGACAGCGCGGCTCTTCATCAAGCGGAATGGAGCCCTTTAAACAAGGAGGCCGGGATTCAAGGTTTTCACAGAAAACATAAATGGCTTTGAGTGCTTTAAACACTTGGAAGGAACCGATTCTCCTCAGAAACGATTCATCCGGGAATGAATGCAATTAAATACTGCCGCCACTGGGTTATCAAAAGCCAAATGGAAAACATACTGAAGAGATGAATGAGGCGACGGACAAAAAGACCCTGTTGGGGAAGGGGGGGCTCCACAAAAACTAAAGACGAATAAAGGGAGGGATTATAGCACAACGGGGGCTCCTTCCTGTCCCTTCGACATCTACAGACTACTTGTTTACTCTAAACGGGTAAAGACCAAAAAACTACAGTAAAAAGTGTCAGTCTGACCTCTGACCTCTCCTTATGGAGGCCTCAACGCTACAAAGCAGCAATTCATTCATCACATGCCGAATATCTCAGAACGGATCCCGAGGCTGCCCCTTACATCGCCGGACCAAATGACCATTGACATCACATTTCAAATCGCCATCCACATCCCCCCCGCGGCCCAAGGAGGAGCAGAAATCCAACATGTGGCTCTATTAGACACACAAGCACGTAATGCGCACACGCTAGAGGTGCCCCCCCCCCCTCCCTCCCTCCCCCGACACCGAGCTGATAGGCAGATGGCGAGAGTCACTGTGAGCCTCTGACATGGAGGTGCATATCATTTAAAGCCTTGTTTGCATCTTAAAATACATCGGCACCATATTGACGTACAGTATACATCATGTCAGCGAGGGCCCTCTCGTTTGCACCGGGGGCCCCGGCTGCTGTTCAATATGCATGGGCTGAACGGGGGGGGGGGGAATCGTCGCATAAGAAGGTGCTACTTCTCCACATAATGAATGTGGCCTCTGCCCAGTCTGAAGGTCAGCCTTCATTTGTGTGTAATGGGCAAGAGTCAACTGTTTTCCAAATGAGACGTATGCAGAGCAGACCGCCGGGTAAATATTGAAATCACCTCTGGGCTGTTTGTGTGATAAATTCCCCCCACAAATCAGGTGGTCCGCTCAAGAGGGCCGCCGCAGTGGTGCTCTCCATCCTGCGCCCGCTGGTTTATTGCTCTATAGGCGACTGTATTTAACAACCAGGAAATCGCCACGAGAGGAGAGAGGAAAAGGGACAGCGGCAGGCAGAGGGTGGGGACACGTATTGATCGAATACGCATCCAGTGAATAAAATGCTCGGGGATTGTTTTTTACCACGGCGAAAGACCCTGGGCGGATCGCTTTTCCATTTTTTCATTTTTCCCCCCCCCCCCCCCCCGCAACCCGGCCTGTCTCTGACGAATTCAAATCTTTGTTCTGATAATTGTTCCATTTCGGCGGATCAATTGTCATATCCAGATGACGCGTGGCCCCGGCGTCGTGGCTGTAATAAGGGGAGGGGTGGGGGGCGCCGGCGCCCAGCAACAAGTCCATTAAGCCACTGCACCGTCTGAGCGCCACCAAGCCCCCTCCCACTCAGCGCTAATCTGCATTCATTACTATGCAAACACAACAATGCTGCCTCGGTATATTCAAAGTCACCTTTAGATGCATACACCCCCCCCCACGCCCCCCATATAGACTTCAGTCTATATGAGAGCCACACCAGCCCGACAAGCGGAAGGGGAGCTTTTGGACAAATAGGAGAATAGCATGGCACAAAACAGCAAATAACAGAGACAAGGTCTGATGGTAGCCCTTGGAGCAGCTGTCATATTAAATAATAATGAAGGATCTATTAATATGCAAAGGAAGCAGCAGCCGACTGGCTTAACGCTGTCATGCCTCTGCATATTGTCAGGATCTTCATCATTAATTAACATGCGAGCTGCCCCATACCTGCGCCAATGTCAGAACATTCTTACAACAAACACCCGATGCCGGTGCCCTCCGCAACTAACTCCTATAATTAAATTAAAATCAGATTACCTCCGCGCCAGTACGCCGACGACCGACTTTCACCACTTTCTGCAGCAAAAAGGAAAAGAGGAGACAACGACGTCAGCTTTTCTTTCGTGTTTTCCCACAATGAAAACACACACTTTTATTTATCGGGCCGAGCGGCGCTCCATGTCAATGAGGGGAGGGTTGTGTGCATGGACTGGTGTCAGCGCGCAATGACAAACTGAGGGGGGGGGGACTCTTAGGTACACCACGCCACTTGAACTGTGCTGTCCACATGATGATAAATTTAGTATCAATTACGCGGCACGCTAACCTTGTGGCCGGGAGAGACTGGAGGGGGGGGGGGGCACAAATAAGTGTGGCTAAATGAGCTGCTGCACACACTGGATCCATCTTAAAGGAGGCTTGAAGTGGGGCCGGATTAGATGGTCCACTCCGGGAACCGCCGCGTTAATTGTGCATCAAAAGAACATAAATATTACGATACGTGCCCCCACCTGCAGGAGAACCATCCCTCTCACACACACACACACACACACACACACACACGCGTACAGTAGAAGGCGGGAAGCATTAGGACATTTTTTGATCAGGATGCAGCCCCGGTTAGATGTGGGTGACATTCATTCCTCTAATGGTAAACGCAGCGCTCCTGCGTTATTCAGAGGTTGGAGCCCGTGTCCGGGACATAAATGAATTATACTGAAGCTGCTGCTTAAGTAGTGGCCAGAGTGTGAGTGGAGGCCCTCTCCACTTTAAAGGAGATGTCATCTCAGTGTGGTGTCAGTCCGCTGCAGAAATAATCCGATTTAGGGGGGGGGGGGGGGCTCAATCTGCCTGTAATGCATCAGCAACTGGAAAGGCTCCAGCGCGCCACCCTCCCGCCTCCGCCTCCCCGAGGGCATGAACACAAGCACGCAGGCACTCGCACACGTGTGTGCTCTCGCACACGGACACTCCCATGTATATGAGGCCATTTCCCTCAGACGGAAAGATAAGCACGTTAAGACGTCCTTTTTTTTTTCTAAAAGCAGCCGGCGTCAAGGGCAGAGATACACGTGTTAACAGTGCTCCACACACGCCCCTCCGCAGAGCAACGCCGCGCTCCACTGTGGCGAGGATGCCGGGGTGTCGACTTCAGCCCGCGCACGCTTCCTGTCAACGTCGGAAATAGCAAAAAGAAACCAGAGAAAAAAGGAGTCGAGTTGAGTGAGGGAGGCAGCGCGGGGCAGGTGGAGGAACTCCATCTAACAAGGTGCTACAACGGCAGCTACTCGCGAGCATCCCAGCGGGGCAGAAAGGACCTCGACTGAACATCTCAGCGTGCTGCTGGTGCCGACTCATCTGAAACAGGAACCAACACGACACGACAGTCTAACTAGTTGAGACAGTTTCTCAACGTCGCCTTTTGCTTTCCTTTTTTTTTTAAATTTATTATCATCAATCAGCGCATCTGGACATGACAGGGAGATCAATTAGACGCCTACTTAGATGCCAACTTATGTGTGGTCAATTATACTTCATTATGACTCCAAATCTGTAGCTTCCTCGGCGGTCGATGCATAATGCCGTCATCAGAAACAATAAACGCTTTTTAATTAAAATACAGCAACTGATGGAGAAGTTCCGTCTCGCCACAGTTGAGAAGCTCAAGGCCGTTAAGAGAATGCCAAAAAAACTCAATTATTTTATCTCTGCCCCCCCCCCGGATCCCGCCGCTACCCCCCGAATAGGCTGACTAAATGTCAAGATCATAGAGTCCCTGTGGGCTGAAAGGGGGTGATATCAAAAGGCAGCGCCGTTGCTTTATGTTCCACTAAATAACAGGGCTCCTCTCATCGTCGTCCTTCTCTCTGTTCACTCCGGGCCTTTAAGTTGCTCTTCTACTCTGCCGGTGACCATCCGCCCCCCCCCCGGTCCCACAGGTCAAAGCTGCCCCATCACAACCTGAGCCTAGAACACTTCCAAGTCTGTTCAAAGTGTTGCAGAGCCACGGTGGCCGCGGAAGACCAGCGGTGGGGTTTAAGCAGCCGGTTAAATGCGCACCGCGCGGCGTGCGAGCATTCCAAGAGCCGGCGCATCGCTGGAAGACGCGGAGAGGGGAGGCGCACTATGCAAATCCGGAGCCCTCGCGGCCCCGGCGACATCAAAGCGGAGGCCCCGGACCCGCAAATAGAACAAAAAGCCGCGCTGGCGATAAGTCTGGGCCCAAAGGGGGTGAGTTGGGGGGCGCGGGCGCGCTCGTTGTTGATTCTCGTGGCGATACGCTCGCTTTAGCAGCATCGCCGCCCGTGTGCACGCACCACTGGAGTGGATTTAATCGCACTAATTAGAACGCACTCCGGGGCGAAGGAACGCAACATCTACTGGAATAATCTGAGAGAAAAGATCTCCACTCCAATTTATTCTCCCTCCTCCCCACGCCCCCCCCCCGGCCTATTGGTTTCCGGCGGGTTGAGCACGAGGATCTGTTTTTGGTAAACGAGCGAGCGTCTGGTGGTTTCGGGTGCATGTGTCACTTTGGACTGGTTGCCATTTGAAAGGATGAGCTGCAGGGAGGCCGCTGGTGGGAGGGAGGGGGAGGAGGGGGGGAGTGCCTGTCTGTCTGTGTGTGTGTGTGTGTGTGTGTGTGACAGAGAGGAAGAGGGAGACAGGAGGGACCCAGACAGTTGGCGTGGAGAGCCTCAGCGGCTGTGACACAGAGGACGGAGCAGTACCTGTGGGTGGGATCATGCCGGGGGACATGAGGCCGGGGACCGAGTGGGGCATGATGTGGGGGTTCTCCGGCGAAGTCACACTCTGGGTCCTCTTCGGAGGTCGGCCCGGTCTGGAGCTGAAACACACGGCGGAGGAGGAGGGGTGAGAGACGGAGGAGGAGGAGGGGGGGGTTTAACATTTGGAGCACTCCGGTATGCGATCCCATTCCAAAGAGCTAACAAGTACTGTAAATACGTTTCTTCTCAAGGACAGTTGCTTTCTGCAGCTCAACATAATAGACCTCCATAACTAATTAGATTACACGGTGAATTCATTTCCTATATTGAAGATCAACCACTTTTTGATGCATAATTCATGAGCCGTACCTCGTTACCTGTTCCCCCGTATTAATATCCCCACGCTGTTTGAATTGCCTCGTTTGCATATGCTAAAATCCGGCCGCGCGGCCCTCGGCCTGGAAATTACATGTTAACTTGTTATAATTATTGCAGTCAGGCCACTATTGATTTATGAGACTTTTAAAAACCAAATATGTGTAGTTCTGGTAATGAATGATATTTTAAGGTTCTTCAGGAAATTAAAAGCCAATGGCTGCCTTAGGAAATGTTCTGCTTGCTTGATTTAATGCGCGCCTTAGCTGGAAGGTGGTGTGACAGAGTGATTCAGACCTGTTGGACAGTTTCTGATGGGGGACTTTTATTACACCAAACGAGGGGCACAGATCCAGCCGTGATAAATGACGGCGCCGCCTTCCCGCGCGCGGAGAAAAGGCCTTCGGAGCAGATACACCTCCCTCCACACATCTCACTCCTTCACTTATTAATACAGCTTCGAGTTGCAATCAATACCTACTTTGCTGGCTTATAGTTACAAAGAAAAGCCCCGAGGGTATGAAACATTCGTTTTTTTCAAACGCAATGAGCGGTATAATGAGGGGGGCCAAGATGCCATCGAGGTATGTTCTTTATGAACAAGGAGCTGTGGGTCTCGGCCCAAGATGAATTATGGCAACTTGACACAGGTGACACATTGGCCTCATACATTATTTCACATACAATAGTCCATTTTCAAGCTTTACCGGGGCACTAAGTTCTGTCTAACATGAGTTGAATCCATCTGTAAAGCACCAGAGGGCTTCCGTTTTGTGTCGTAACCATGGCGGCATAAACAGGACAAAGGAAATCAAACCCGGGCCGGATGAGCTTCTGCCGTGGCCCTTTAAACAGATGCTTATTCGTTTAGTAATGGTGGGGGCCTGTGCCCATGCCGAGGCACCATGGACCGAATATTAGCCCGCAGTTGCGTGACGTTGGAGTCGCCATGTTGTTTATTTACCAGATTTGGAATGCGGGTGATTGACATTGAGACGAAATATAACTTACAGTTGACCTGCCCTGAAGTATCCGCTGCTTTATGGATGCGTAGTAATGTTTCACTCATTAACACTACGTCAAATCCTTTTTTAGATGAATGATTTAAAAAATAATGATAATGATTCTAAATAATCAATTCAGCTTGACTCATGAGTTGTTCTGTTTCCTTTGAAAAGATGATTTCATTCCTCATTCATATATATATATATATATACACATATATATATGTGTGTGTGTGTGTGAGGCTGTTTGTGTTCCAGTACATTTCCCTACATCTCCCAAAGGCAGTATCTGCAGAGCGATGCGGCGTGTTACAGCTCAGATAGCACGCCGCCTTAGCAGTTGGATTTATTCAGCCGTGTCTTGTGAGGTTTATTTACCTCGGCCCTGCTAATAGAGTGCACTCGCTCTGTCTGAATGTGCTGACTCTCTCATATGCCGGCTCCGCGGGTTTTAGGCACTAAAAGCACACCGTCACCCGACTGTGTCCCTTCGCGGGAGGAAATACAAGAAAAAGTGTGGCGAGAGGGAGAGCGAGGGGGAGGGAGGGAGGGGAGGGAGGAATGAGCACCCGCTCACCCTACGAACGTCTGGAAATGTAATTCCTATTTCTATAGAAGCACCTCTTTGATCTTATGAGAGGGAGAGATCGCACACAGTTTTGCTGTCATCACTTTCACTTGTACTCTGGCTGAATTATTTATGAAAGACCTCAATAGAGGGTATGTGATGACTAAAAAGGCTTTTTACCGACAATACTAAAAGCAAAAAGGTCCTCAAATGTACAAAAAAAAAAAAAGGAAGGAAAAGAAAAGGAACTGTCACATCAAGCTGGGACGGTGTCAGAGGATGTGAGCCTGGGTTCAGAGAGGAGCTAATGTCTGCACACAGACACTGTAGCAGCGAGGACGCCTCTCAGAGGACAGGGTCAGGACCGGGGGGTCCGGTGGGTCTGCACTCGCAAGAGGACGCCCCCCCCCCCCACTCCAGGACTCCCACCAGCTGTCTCCTCCTTTTCACCCGGGTCCCGTCACGGCCTGGTGTCGGACGTGGACGAGGCCCCGGTCCAGAGAGGAGCTGAACCCGGCCTGAGACAGCGGAGCCGGGGCTATTTATCAGGCAGCAGATGCCGATTCCTTAAATAGCGCGGCACAGAAACTGCTCCAAACTAGGCCATTATTGCAACCAAAAGAACGGGCAGCCTCGGGATTTACGATTGGAATTCTTAGTTTCTTCTCACGCCGCTGTTGTCTTCTCCCATCTCTCTCGCCTTGCCTTCCTTCTCTCGTCTCGCCCGAGCTCTGAAAATTGACTTATTTGGACATTATTATTTCTGTATCGGAGGTCAATCCCCAAAGAATTCCATTGGCCGCTTTATTTATATTTACACTGAAGATATTCAGAGCCCTCGTATCTCTGGCTTCAATTAAGGAAACAAAACAGGCTCTGGGCCGGGGCCACAAATATGTTACGCATCTATTTCTTCCCTCTCTTTTCGCCGTGTGTCTCGCTGCCATGGTGAAACGAAAACAGCGGTGAACTTTCCCTGAACCGGGCTTCCTTTAATGGCCCCGGCCGCGTGTTGACCCAGCAGAGTCGGCCTGGAACCCGACACCGTCCAACGCATTACGCGGAGCACCCGGCAACACACTCCGCACGAGTCCACTTTCAGCGCTGCGGTGCGATTAAAAAAAAAGCGGCAATAATTAAATTTGCGTTCTCGCCCCGTTTTACCGGAAAGCCGCCGCGAGCCGGTGGGCGTAACAGGAGGTGTGATACGGCGCGAGAGACATCTTATTTTTTGATCTCGTGGCACAAAAAAAAGAAAAGAGAAGAGAAAAGGAGATTGCGACGTCTCGCTATCGAGGCTCTTTTCTGTCGACGGAAGCGGTGACGGAGATCTTATTACCCAGCGCGCCGTTAATGCAGCGATTATGATCCGTTATAAATCAATTGAAGCCACAAATGTAATGTTTAGCCCGAGTGAGTGGATTGGGTTACGGGCGGAAGCAGGCCGCTCCTCCCGGCTTCGGGGAGCTTCAGGAATTCAACCTGATTATGTCAACAGGGAGTTTGCAGAAAAAGCAGCACAATATTGTTTCCTGCGGGCCGTGATTGAGCCATTAACCTTTTATCTCGCTCTTTTGTTTGACGTCTCTGGAAGGCGGGGATGGAGATATTTATTCCATTTCCGCCCCGGTCGGCTCAAAACAAGCGAGTGAATCATTCCGTCTGGGGCTTGTGTAAACAAAAGGCCTCTCCAGGTCTCTGCCAATCAGGCCTTATAAAATATTAACCCAATGTCATTGCCCTTTTAAAAATCCCTCACCTAGAATTCCCTAATTGTTCCTTTTCTTTATCTCTCCGGTGCAGAGAGTAAATAAATTAACAAAATAGCTTTTATCGGCCCGAGTAACCTTTTAACTGGAGGATTATCAGGGGTTTATTTTTCATTTCTCGCACAGCGATAGCATTGATTGGTTGGCCGGGCCGGTGACCAGCCATGAAAACAAGGTCTTATTGATAAAACAAAAAGAGGAGGTGAGGAGCTGCTTTAAGTGGCAGGTCAGGCAGCAGGCGGGGGGCCTCGGACCGGCCAGGGGCCCGGCTGTGTGCCGAGTGCGTGCTTTAATGCGGTCCAATCAAGGAGCTTAACAAGTGCGAGGAGAGGTCAACTCTGTTCATAGACAGGCGGGCAGAACCACAGGTCACTTAGACCACAGATGAAATGCTCTCACTTACTCCGCAAAGTGTTGTTTTGTTTGTTTGTTTCCTCCACTTTTAAAGTAGAAGAAGAAAAAAGCTGCATTAAAGGAATATTGACATGCAAGTACTGTACGTATGTCATTTACTCATCTACTTAAAACTTATTAACCTATTTAACCTCCCTTTTTTCCAAAAAGTCTCTCAAGCGGCCGGCTAAATGTTTAGTCCGGACGGACAGAATGAGCGGTTTGATGACATCGCTGAGGGACGAGTAAAAGGAGTAAAAGAACAGGCTTTTCTAACATTTCCTAGACTAAACAATTGATGTGTCATTTTAGAGATAATTGTTAGATGAATTGATCGCGAGTAAATGACTTGTATTACCTGTACAATACTTGTGTGAAATCTAACACTGCTGCCGCCAACAAAAGAGGAGGAAAATAAACAAAAAGGATGATTTATGCTTCCTGCTGACCTCGGCAGTCTATTGGTTGTGACGATCGTAATCTCGGCGTCACGGCGTGATACATGGGAATACATTCACTCATCCATCTTGCTCATGCATCCGTCTATCCTCAGCCACATCTTGTATGTGTATTTGCATTGAGCCTATTGGTGGATTATCTCAATCAGCTTCCCCCTTGCACCTGTCAAACAGCGCCTGGCACAGGTAGCCCCATCGCGCGTATCTGATCTAGATAGCTGGATTACAGCGAGTCCGTGAGCGCGAGGGGACCAAGGAAGGAAGAAAGAAAGAAAGAAAGGGAAAAACCCACCACGACACTTTTTAAAATTTATTAGGGGTGGGAACAGCTGCATCCGCCCGCAAACGGTGAACCTTTGTTACGGGACAATATATCACAGATCAAATGGTGTGGAATCAAAGGCGTGGAGAGAGTCAGCGTCAACCCCACTGAGCCCCCGTCAGAGCGCCGCGCCCCCGATCGCATCCCGGCGCGCGCGCGCTAATGTGCAGGGGAGGGGGAGCCGGTGGCTTCCTGGAGCCGCAGTTCGACCCGATTGGAAGCACGCCGGG